CAACTGAGCCATGCCAGCCAGGGTGAAAGAGTCCACTTTTTATGAAGCACTTTTACAATTACAGAGTGCTATTTAATAGAAATTTAGGATATTTGAACAATTCTAATATAACAGTCAGTTCTTTAAAAATTAAACCTTAGCATGGCTGGTGTGGCTCAGTAGACTGAGTGCCAGCCTGCAAACCAAAAGGTCGCTGGTTCAATTCCCAGACAGAGCACATGCCTGGGTTGTGGGCCAGATCCTCAGTAGGGGGTGCTCAAGAAGCAACCACACATTGATGTTTCTCTCCCTCTCTCTCTTTCTCCCTTCTCCTCTCTAAAAAAGAAATACAATCTTTAAAAATAAAACCTTAAATAGAAAGTCACAAAATAATTTTTTTTTACTACTTTAAACAGAAAATCCAAATGACAGCATAAAACACGGATGGGTTAGGATGGTATATTATATTACTCAATTTTCTGTACCTATTTCCAACACAGAAAATATTAAGAACTCTTTCCAGGAAAATTCAGGACACACTTAATAATAAAAACAACAGTAATTACTACTACTACTACTTCTACTATTACCATTATTATTATATATTAGAGCAGCAAGTATTTTCTGAAATTTCTTCAGAGGAAGGAAGAAAACTAAGAAAAATTTCTTCCTGTTGGGATATAAAAATGCACCCCTTGATAACTGAGGAAGGACCACGGAGCATTCCCAGGGAGACTGCAGACGGTACAGACTGCGATGGTGGAGGCAGGTCTAAAATCCGGTCCATCCCTAGCGCAGGCCGCACACACCGTGCTGGGGCATCACAGGGCCTTAGACATCATTCAGTGTCTCCTCGACCCTCACCGTACAGGTGAGGCGATGCAAGCTCAGGGCGGTTCATGTCTGTCCTCCTCCTTTGTGGAATTGCTTGTGTCAGCACACCATGCTGGTCGGGCAGACCCATCCTCTACAAATACTCTGTTGTCCTGAGCCCTCAGAGCAGGCTGGGAGCAGCAAAGAAGGCAGAAACCATGGTTTTATGGAATTTATTGCTGTGATTTCCCTCAAACATTTTCTTACTCTATTATACTCATAATTTTCTCTTCTGATAAAACTAAATATATTACATATTTACATCATTGATACAGTAAGGGGTTCACTCATTATGTATATTTGATTCCTTGAACTTTCAGACTGAAATGGGGGAGGTTATGCATATTTTATCTTGTTTTGACCGGAGAGAAATTACAGCTCAGATCTGTATATATTATTGACCATACTGCTGAGCAGGGCAGCAAAGTTGACAGATAATAAAGTAAAAAAAAAAGAGGATAAGCAACTTCTAATAAATTCTAACATAAGTGATTTAAAAGGATCACCCTTTTTCTATGACACCTATCCCAGCCTTAAATAAGCACTTTCTTCACTCTACTAAAGAAAATTCACACTTTGGTTACTGAGAAATCAATTGTCAAATATACGTCAATTAATTTGCATAATTAACAGTTATTACACTTACTATTAAAATAATTGATTCAAATGGGGAGATAGGGGACAATGAAAATAGTGACTAAATCCAGTGGTCAGTGGCCCCCTGAATAAAAGTGAGAATTCCCAAAGTTTCACACATCATAAATTACTCATTGAAGCTCTCTTTAGAACACTTAAGCTAGAACCTGGCAAAAAGTCTATACATTTTGGTAAAGATTCTTTAATCCTTAGTCCTATGAAAGAGTCATCATGAGTGAAGGGTCTAGAATGTGTATGTATGTGAAGATACCCTAATGGTAGCCAGACAGTGCTACTGCAGCCCAGCCCGGTTAGGTACATTAAATATCTGAGCCAAAAGCAACGGGATAAATGATCACAACAGCGATAACCCATGAGGCTAACTTTTTTTGAGTACTACGTGTCAGGCACTGATCTAGTTACTTCACATACACTCATTGAATCTTCAAAACAACCTAATGATGACCCTCACTTTACAGATCTTAGAAAGGCAGTTTAGCACCGTGGTTAAAAGCCAGCATGCCGGAGCCAGGCTGCCTTGGTTTGATTCCTGGCCCACCACTGACCAGCTCTTCTGTAAAGCGGTGATACTCATACTACCTGCCTTGTAGGGTTTGCTGCGAGGTTTGAATACATTAACGAAAACCAAGAGCTTAGAGAGTGCCTAGTGCATAGGAAGTGTTGCATATGTAAGTGTTGCCTCTCGGTCTCGTTCCAGAAAAGGACAGGGGCACAGGAGAGTGGAGTCCTGGGCCACGGCTGGACCTCGAGACAGTACTCTTCAGCCTCACGCACGCTGCCTGACAGTTGCTGGAACTCTTTTACGAGCCAACACGGCATGGCAGGCGTATTTTATGTTGCTTCATTTCAAACTCATGACAACTTTATAGTGTCTCCACTTTACAGAGATGAAAACCAAGCATGCTAATTACTGCCAGCACAGTGGGGACACTTTGGTGACAAAGACACAGATGCTGCCCTGCACGAACTTGCAGGTTTCGAAACATAAAGAACCTGCCTACAGGCACCAGCTAGGAGGAAGCCGGGCTGGGAGGCGGACTCAACTCTGCACGCACTCCTCACTCTGCCCACGCATCACTGCATTAAAACAGGGCGTTACTTAAGCAGGAAAGACTTTTTAGTGAGAAAAGAAAAAAGAAGGAACCAATGCATCAGGGGAGGACTGGAGTTTTCTGGTAAATGGAAAAGCTGTGTACAAGGCCAGTTTCTCTGGGGTTAGTGATAGTCTTACCCCTTCATACACCCAACATTTTCCACAGCCTAAGGGCATATTTTCCCCAAGTGACATATTTCATCACATATAGGGAAGGAATGACAAACCAGTTTCCACTTAACATGTTTAAATATGCTCTGGAGTGAAGATTGCAATCATGTGAAATACCATAGAGCCTGGCATATAGGTGCCTACTTGCTTGCTTCCTTCCTTCCTCCCTTCCTCCTCCAACTCCTTCACTCCTTCCTTCTCCCTTTCTTGCCTCCCTCCCTTCCTTCCTTTCTTCCTTTTATAAAGATTTCATTTATTTTTAGAGAGAGAGAGAGAGAGGAAGGGAAGGAGAAAGAGAGAGAGAGAAACACGGATGTGCGAGAGATACATGGATTGGTTGCCTTTTGCACACCCCAACCAGGGACCTGGCCCACAACCCAGGCATGTGCCCTGACCAGAAATCGAACAGGTGACCTTTTGGTTTGTGGGATGATGCCCAACCTGCTGAGCCACACCTGTCAGGGCCCAGGGCCGGACAAGGCTTTCTCACATGCATTGGAGAAGGTGACAGCTGCCTCTCCTCTTACGCAGGCAGCCTAGGCCTGCGACACCTATAATTATGCATCCCAGTGAACTTGACTCATGACTTTCAAGCCTAAACAGAATCTGTTCCTGATCTAATTATCAATTCACTGGCTCCGACTGGTTTCATGATTTCACCCCTCTGTACATCCTGTGTGATTATGTCACTGCTACTGAAGAAAATCACAAAGTCTCGATGAGCAAGCTCTGTGTATCCTTTTGAAATACACAAAGAAATAAAATTACATTGACACAGATTTTTGCCCATAGAATTAGTTCAAAACAAATAAAGAATAACAAGTTTAGAAACATCTGTCCCACTAATAACTTAAAGATTAAAGAAAACTTCAAGAAAGGAATTCCTGCCCAGGTTTCCTGGAAGCCTGACATGTAATTTCACTATGAACTTGTGGATCGCAGCACGTAGAATATTACCACAGCAAAATGATTCCAAACAATTCCTTATATGACCTTGCTAACATTATAACCTGTGCAGTGTTGATGGAAAAATGCAATGTAATTATTCTGAAGAGTTTTAGAACTTTACAGGTGAAGTGCAATGGGTCAACCAAGCTAAGAATCTTTTTTCCATTTTTTAAGCTTTATGTGAAGCATACATAATATACAAAAAAAAATGCAAATATTTAATGTATATATCTTCATGAGTTTGAACATATGTGATGTTGTAATACTGTTGCCACAATTCTTAAAGGCAGTTTCCTCTGCAGGGTGGAGAAGAACAGCAACAGCCTGCAGAGAGGGCTCACGTGCTGCAGGCTCCGGCATCCTGGTCTGCCTGAGCACAGAGCCTCAGATTTCCCCGCCCGGCCAGACCTGGCCGGACCCGGCCAGACCGGCCCATTGCTCCGTCCACGCCCCAATCAATTTCCAAGCAGTAGACTCACCCAGACCCACTCCTTTCATGTAATAAAATCCAATGGCTTATTTATGTTACATACTTCTCTTTTTAATCCTCACAGGTCTCCCATCAGATAGGTTTATAGACGAGTAATCTAAAACTCCACAGCGTTAAGAAACCAGCTGAAGGTAACTAGCTCTTTAGCTATGTCGCATAATGCTATAGCTAGGTGTCAAGGCGGGTGGGATTCTGAGGAGTTGAATTATTGGGGACTTGCAAAAAGAAAGTCATTGTTCTGTTTCTCTTCTTGCTGTCCCCACTAAGAATCTTTCACTGCTCTGCTTTGACATCAAGTTAACAGTTGACAGCACCGGGGGGTCCACGGTTTCATGCTGCAATAGCATTTGGAGGCAGGTTGCTGCCAAAAACGTATCCGTGCCATGATTCTGGGCTGACGCAGAACCTCTGGCAGGTGAGGTGTCACAGCGAGTGGCCGGTCTCGCACCCGGCTGTGCTGTTAGCTGAGACTCCTCTGCTCCTGTGTCTCCTGGGCGTGGTCTGCCCAGAGGGTGCTCTCTTCCAGTTCTTCCCTTATTTCCCTTGCTTTCTCCTGGAAGTGGAGTATGTCTCCCTCCCTGTCCCTGCCCCATGAATAAAATCATCCATGTGATGACCAATTTAGAGCGTTCCCTGTGAAACGTCTGTTTACAAAAATAAGTACTCTATTCTCATAATGTGACACTTTTACAAAACACAAAAGGTAAAACCTACATCAAACCTGCACTCTCTTGCCTTTCTTGACACAAAAGAAAGGCGACTGAGGGACTGTCCCAGAACTGACCATACCTGAGAATCCGGAACACCGTCAGCTTCTGTCACAGTCACGTGCTTGTCACTGTTTTCTTCATCTTGTTCAATTGCTTAAATAAATAAAGAAGAACTATATTAGATGCAGCATCATAAGAAAAATCATTTCAGATCATTTTCTTTCTGACAGCAATTTGACAGGAAAAAATGTTAGGCAGATTCACAAAATGTAAATATCAGTACTACTTTGTTATTACTTGGACAAACGGTTTAACGAATAGCACTGTGCACTTTCCATGTACATGATCTCATTTATTAAGTCAATACAGTGGAAGACTTTGATCTCATTCTCCTTTTCACCAAAATCTGTCAAGACATCATCACGTCAGTTTTGTGCTTCACCCAAAGAGGAACTGAAGTGTAGATGAAGGCTTCTATAAAGTTCATGTGAGAACATTTTCTAATGTGATTTCTTATGGCTAACAGTTGAGTGTTGTGTAATAAAGGAAGCACAGTGTTTTATATTTGGATTGCTACCACAAAATTCCAAACCATTGAGTCTTGGGTCCACCTCTTCTCCCACATTCCCCCAGCATCTCCCCATCCGAGTTCTGCCTCCCTTTCTGTGCTGGGGCTGTAACCTCCTATCTCAAAGCCCCTGATTCCAGCCTCTCCCTAATACAGCCGAGCATGGGCACAACTTCTAGAATAATTAGCCTCAAAAAAAATATAACAAGTGCCGTGCTTTGGCCTATGTATTGCTTATCTTATCAAGTTCAAACTCCGTTCCCCATTGAAGGTCTACCTTGAACTCTCTTGCTTCCTCCTAATCTCCGACTTCACCCTGACATTCGGCGCCAAAACATATGGCACCCAACACTCACGCAAGTACAGTGATTTCATTATTTTCCTCTTTATACAGCTTGCTCTTCCATTTTGACAACTATTTATTGAGCATCTGTGATGGGCTTGGCACTGGGTTATTCCTTTGAACAAGACAGATTCACCCCTGACCTCGTGAAGTACACGCACAAGCTGGGGAGATCGCCAAGGAACAATAACTATAACTAATAATAACAATAACAATAACTTAAAAAAAAGGAATTAAAGATCACAGTAAGTAGATGACAGAAAACCACGTGGGAGAGGTCATTTTGGAGAGGCAGCACGGGGTGATGCTTCTCTAAAGAAGTGACATTTGGGCTGAGACCTGAAGGCTGAGATGGAGCCGCCCAGGGCAGGTGACAATGACATTATGAGACCCTCCTGGAGTACAGACCATGGCAAATTCAAATCTTAGCATAAGACATAAGGAAGCACGGAGGAATTTAAAATTGGCAACTTCGTGAATTGATGGATTTTTTTCAAAAGTTGTTTCTGCGTTCTTTATGGAGAACAGACTTAAGAGAGTCAGGCCAGAGAGACCAGTTAGGTGACTGTTGCTCTCACCTCGGCTAGAGATGACACTGACTCAGACCAGGCTGGGGGCAAGGAGCTAGAGAAACATGGAGGATGTGAGTTGTAATTTTAGACAAAATGAACACAATCTGCCAACGAATTGGTTACAGGGGGTGGGGGGAGGGGGGAGAAGAAGTAATCAAGGATGACTCCTAAGTAGAATGAGTTATTGCTCACATCCATCATACCATTTATTCTTTTTGCCCTCTCCATCTCAAACCAAAAAAAAAAAAAAAAGGTGGGGGGGCAGCCACAACATATACCAACCTCACTGACAATGAGGTCACCCACTGTGCTTTTGGATTCAGCTTGCATTGTTTTGTGTACTTTTAAATACTATGCTTTCTGCTGCATACTTTCTAAAATATCATGTCATGCACCTTTTGCTTTTGCATGCCTTTTATGCTCACGTAAATGCCGTACACACAGTATGAGCCATGTAACTACTAATGGGATGAACAGTTTCTCTGCAAGTGAGCAGAATGGCACGACTTGACTATACCTACTTATATAAGTTCTGTCTTTCAAAACTATTTATGAAAAAAGAGGGAAGGGAAATTCTCTTCAACTCCACGGGGACCTAGGATAACTCCTACCAGCTGAGCCTCTCAAGGAAAAGCAGGAACAGTGAAGGTGGGCAGAAGCTTTTCTTCTTTTTCCAGCAAGTTCCATTCATGCTTGTTCAAAGAAGGTCCCCTGTTGCTACTGTTGCTCAATTAGGAGGAAACTTAAGAATAAAGAAAAACACTAATGTTTTCTCTGAAAAACTAGAGGCAAATGCTAAGGAAAGAATAAAATATAGACTAACATCCTAAATTTCACTTAAAGATGCAGTGAGCTGGAGAAGTAAGGAACTTACCTCTACTAGTTGAAATAATAGGAGAATTCTTTTCTCATCCTGTAATGGGCAGTAATTTTCTTTGGGGGGGTGCAATCTGATACCATGCGAATGTGAGACAACTTCACCCGCATGAAGTACCAAGAATACCCTGGCCCTTAATTTATGCTTTATTTGAATTTTTATTCCTTCAAGTTTTAGTTTTGATGAAAATGAAAATTAAATTTTGGATTGATTTATTTACTTATTTTGCCTACTAAGTTCATGTTTTGTTTTTAAAACAACAATGCTCTAGGGTAGAGGCATTTTTTTTCCCTTACCTTAATATACTCAGAAATAGGACATGTAGAACAATGAATAACAATTTCAGAATTGAGAGTTAACATTATTGTTTGAACTTTACATGAAATTCTTAATACATATAGACAGAATTAAGGGGGCAAGAGATTAGCACAAAAGCATACTTGGGACAAAAATTCAATGCTATAGTTCTAGCTTCTCCCCAACAAAAGTGCTACATTATTTGGTCACATCTTTGAAGACATCAGTATTTGTTGTCCTGCATTATACTTTGGTTAACAGAACAAAAATTAGAAACACAAGCAAGTTAAGGGACGTGGCAAAGGGAACTCAGTAATCTATCTCAATCAGCATAATGGAGAGACTCACAAAGTTCTGGTGGACGCTTGACCTCAGCACCCTGATCGCAAAGAGAAGACCTCGGTCTCTCTCTCTTTTTTTAATCCTCACCCAAAGATATGTTTTTTGATTATTTTTAGAGAAAGAGGAAGGGAGTGCAGGGAGAGAGAGAGAGAAGAGAAACATCAACATGAGAAAGAAACATTGATCAGTTGCCTCCCATATGCACCGTGACTGGGGATCAAACCTGCAACCTAGGTAGATGCCCTGACCAGGAACTGAACCTGCAAACTTTAGGTACATGGGATGATGCTCCAACTAACTCAGCCACCCAACCAAGGCAAGACCATGGTTTCTTCCAATACACTGATATCATTATTTCCTTGGAAATACCAAAACATTATGATTCCAAAAATGTGTTTTTGCCAGTAGTTTATATATACTAGTTAAGAACAAAATTTATGTTGGACTTTTAAGGATTTATGATTTCCCCATGAAACCTCATGTATGAAATACACAGTCACCTAAAAAGAGAGTGCTCCAATAACCTTTAATACAAAGATTAATGTTGAGGAATAAATAAGGAGGCAATTTCTCTCTTCAAGGGTCCTACTACTGTAGCTAATGTGGTGGAAGGAGGAGGAAGCAGTTATTTAGAATTTTGAGCTTCGTTTTTTCATTTATCTGATCAGAATGAGAGTAGGTTGGGAGATATTTCCTCTGCAAATATTGATTCTGGGACGGTTCCCTCTAGTGTGATGCGTACACAGGAGTGACGGCTCGTGGGACCAGGGAGGCTCGCAGCCCAACTCTGCCAACACAAACCAGCCCCTTATCTCTCAGCACAGAGTCTAAAAGCAAGAAAAGGCCTTTGAAAATAGCTTAACACAACAAAAGTCACACACACAAGATCAAAAGCATATATTTTGAATAGTGAACATGAGAGCCCACGCAGGAACTAAGAATACATGTAGATTGATTATTTAGCACTAATCACATAACAGCCCTTAGTTTAATTGTACCGATTTGTAAGTTAGCCAAGAGTAATTCATGGGGGGCTACAGTTGACAGCCCCCAAGAACGGGAGGGCTTACCTACTATCACTGTCTTGTTGCCTTGGGGACAACAGGTATTCTCTCGCTTCCACTTACTGGAATGGCTACTAAGAAAACTCTCCTAATAACTCTACTAATATTATTATTTAAACACAAAAGGGATTGATGGCCTTTCAGAATGATGCTTATTTAATTTCTGTAGACCACCTTTGTAAAGGTAAGAGCCACACTGACACATTGAACATACAATGACTGTAATGCAATGAGTGACTACAGTTGTAAGAACTCCTTAAAAAAATCAACCAAACTAGTTTTTTAATTTACAAACCAACCAAAAATTTAACTATAGACAGAAAGTTAGCATCTTGCATATCAATGTGAGAAATCGGCAAACATAGTTAAGAAAAATAATTTCTTAAATGTTTTGCCAAGCATTAAAGTTTTGTCAATAACATAGCCTTTCTTCTGTGCAGCACTGCACTGCGAAAAAGCTCCTTCATGCAGGGTCTCATCTGATGGCCACACGACCTGACGAGTCGGGCAGGTCAGGTCAGCCCCATCTTACAGGCGAGGGTACGTGACCTGTCCCGGTGCTCCACGGAAAAGGCATGCACCCGCGGCAGCCAGCCTGCCTGGGTCCAGGCGGGAGCAGAACAGTGCCTGTCACACAGCACATCGCAGATCCATTCATGCGGACGTGTGTTTCTTTTCACTTCTTTAATGAAATGGAACAGAATACAATAGAAAAAATAGAAGAACATTTAAAAATCAAAATGCACTGCCACCAGTATTTTTCATGAGCGTGGATGAGAAGTGTACCAGCTCAGGCTCTGTTGTGTGTTCCATGGGTTGTGGACATAAAACTGTTAGGAAAACAGAGGTGTTTCCAGGCCACAGGAGGCAGGACCGGTTCCTCATTATCTAAATAACCAGCTATTTTTTTGTACCATTCCTGGAGAAGGGCCATAATATTTACTTTAGGAGGCCCCTCCACAGCACAGCGTCCACTCTCAGCAAGCAGCGCACCCCTTGTGGGATAGCGAGGAGATGAGCTTGCAGCGAGAAATGCTGATGGCGGATATTCAATTGTGGGTACCAGGAATGAAATCACAAATGCTTCAAA